AAATTCACCACCCAGTTCTGAAGGATTTTCCCTTCACTCTGAGGCAGTGCTGTCAGGCCCTAGTCTCTCCTACTAGTGGAAACATCTTCTCCACAGCGTTGTGTTCCCAACACTGACTACTGTAGAACTTCCAGCAGTCACTGGCTACCATCTTGAAAAAGACTCCTTTATCTCCACTTTCTGCCATCTTCCAGTCAGCCAATACTCTATCTATGCTAGTACCTTGCCTCTAACACCAATGGCTCTTGTGTGGCACCTTGTCATAGATTTTCTGGAAATCCAAATAGATCTCATTCACTGGCTCTCCTTTGTCTAACTTACTTGTTACCTCAAAGAATTCTAACAGATTTGTCAGGCATGACTCCCTCTTAACAAAATCATCCTCACTCAACCTATTTTATCATGCACTTCCAAGTACTCTGCAATCTCATCCTTAATGGACTCTTAAAATCTTACAAATTACTGATAGCAGGCTGATCTCTCTATAATTTCTTGTTTTGTGTCTTCTTCCGTTATTAAACGTGAGTCTTCAGGATGCTTCCTGACTCCAATGATTCTTGAAAGATCACCAACAATGTCTCCACAATTTCCTCAGCTATCTCCTTCAGAACTCTGGGGTGTAGTCCACCTGCTCCAGTTGATTCATCCACTTTCAGACCTTTTTGCCTCTCTCGCACCTATTCCCTTGTCATGGCCACTACAATCACCACTGTTCCTTACTCTCTTGAAGTTCTAGTGTGCTGTTGTTGTCCATCGTGAAAACTGATGCAAAGTACCTATTCAGTTCCTCCAACATGTCTTTGTTCCCCATTACTACTTCTCCAGCCTCCCTTACCAATGTTCCAATGTCCATCCTTGCCTTTTAGATATCTACTTCAGTATTACCTGCTATCTTTCCCTCATATTTCATCTTCTCTCCACCCTACCATTGCTTTTTTTGTTGTCCTGTGCTGGTTTGTAAAAGATTCCCAAACCTCTGGCTTCCCACTAATCTCACTGCATTGTATGCAATCATCGGGTTGCAAGAGATAACATGTGATGCAGTTGCCAGCTGTGGCTGAATGTATTTGTGAAGATTCCATCATGTGACCTGTACCTCAAATGGCCTGCCCAGACACTCTTGCCTTTGGCGCACCCTCCAGGGTGGAGTCATTTCAGACCCAATTGGAAAAAGAGTGGAGACTTTGTTACCCAATTGATTTAACATTGATTGTTCGAGAGGCAGTATTTTCCCTATTTCCAATATTTATCGCAGCTAATTAATGTGATAGAAAATGCAAAACACAACTGCAATTTAATTTAATGCCTGTGTGGTTTACTCCTAGAATTTACTCATTACAATGTCCTAAAGATTAATCTTAGATTCCTGGAAACTCAGGGATTGTCCTGTAGTGTTGATGATGCTACATAAACACCGTGTGAAAGTTCCAGAAGAGTGCTGTACCTTTTACAGTCTCTGCATTCCTGAGTTTAGAGCTGATATGTAAACCTTTGCATTCTTCAAATCTATTACAACTGCACCCTTATGCATTGGTCTCATTGTTGTAAACATCATCCTCTCAGTCACTGCCTGCATCTTTCTCTATTATTGTATCTAATGGCCTTCACTTCCTTAATCTCTCTTAGATATTTTATCACACAAAAACCCATTCTTACCTCACACTACTTTCAGACACTGCTGTCAGTCCACTAGAAAAATTCATGTTATATATGATGAAGACAGATTTAACCCCATGAATATGATATAGGATACTATTTCCTGTATTTGTTTTTTTTAAATCATTCATTGGATATAGGCATTGCTGGCTAGACCAGCATTTATTGCCTATCCCTAATTGCCCACGGGGCAGTTAACAGTCAACCACATTGCTGTGGGTCTGGAGTCACATGTAGGCCAAGCCAGGTAAGGATGGAAGTTTCCTTCTCTAAAGGGCATTAGTGAACCAGATGGGGTTTTTCCGACAATCGATTCATGGTCATCATTAGACTCTTAATTCCAGATTTTTAATTGAATTCAAATTCCACCATCTGCCCAGGCAGGATTCGAACCCAGGTCCCCAGAACATTACCTGGGTCTTTGGATTAGCAGTCCAGTGATAATACCACTAGGCCATTGCCTTCCCAAAATACTTGTTCAAACAGCCTTTTTATGTTAATTTACACCTAAATTCTACAGAGGTGAGTTCAAAGTTAAGTTGACAAATGTCACTGAGGTAATATCCTGGAACTCCCTTTCTAACAATACCAAGGGTGTATCTCATGTCCAAGGACTGCAATAGTTCAAGAAGATGGTCACTATTATCTCCTCAAAGGCAGTTAGAGATAGGCAACAAGTGCTGGCCCAGCCAGAGATAATCAACTCCCAAGGAGAAGTACATAATAGATGAATCGGATACAAGTGGATGTTTCATGGAATCCAATGGTCAGATTATTCAGGCTGTCAGTCTCTGAATATATCGTCAAGTGACAATGATGAATGGAGGTCTTTTATTTTTGCGAATCAGTAATTGAAGATTGTTAATGGAATGAAAACTATCAATTAATCTGATTTATTTGCAGGAATGCTGAAGAATTTACCACCTCAAACTTAGGTGCTGGAACTATGTCATTATCATTTGGGAAAAATAGGGACCAGCTATTTCCTATTTTCCAGCATGTCCACAATTCACAGCGTTTTTATAACTGATGAAAAGTATTCACAGACAACGCAAAAATGTTTTGCTTTAATGTTCCATGGATTTTTTTCTTGTGTGTTGATTGCTCCAGTACTCTGGAGATTGCTAGTTAATTCCCTGTGAGGTAATTCCACAATGGTAACCCTAACTGTGTGACTTTAAAAGTCTGGAAATTTTTGGACATTCAAAGGACTTAGCTGCTAATCATTCATTATAGGAGCAAGAGGAAATTTATGAGCTGCTAGGTGCCAGCTCTTGTTGGTTATACAACACATACTATACAGAACGGAAAACCAGTAAAACTAGCAAATGACACTTACTGTAGATATTTCTAATCAACTTGTTTAAGCATGTTATGACACACATCTGGAGCATGGGGGCTTCTGGCCCAGAGGTACGGACAAGAGCCGCATGAGTCTCTCAACATTTTTGCATCAATTAGTTCAGGCATTATATGGTAAACCTCTGGCACAGTTGGGTCTTAACACCAGCCTTTCTATCCCAGAAGCAGGTACACTACTATTGTGCTGCAACAGCCTGCCGATCCACCTTGTATACTTCAAGATGGAGCTCCAGAACAACCAGTACATTATAATTTGATTTGATTTGTTACTGTTGCGTGTACAGTGAAAAATTTGTTGTTTTGTGTGCAGTACAAGCAGATCATTCAATGCAAAAAGCATTAGGGTAATAGAACAGAGCGAGGAGCACAATGCTATAAGCTGCAGGGAAGGTGCACAAAGAGCGAGATAAATAACGAATGTAAAATTTGAGAGGTCCATTCAGAAGTCTGATAACAGTGGGGAAGAAGCTGTTCTTGAACCTGTTGGTACATTATGTCCAAGCTTTTGTATCTTATGCCTGATGGAAGAGGTTGGAAGAGATTATAACTGGGGTGGGAGGGGTCTTTGATTATGCTGGCTGCCTTCCCGAAGCAGCAAGAAGTATAGATGGAGTCAAGGATGGAAGGTTGGCTTGCATGATGGACCGGGCTGTGTTCACAACTCTGTATAGTTTCTTACAGTCCTGGGCAGAGGAGTTACCATACCAAGCTGTGATACATCCGGATAGAATGTTTTCTTCTGGTGCATCTATAAAAATTGATGAGTCTTTAATAGGTAAGAGTCTTTAATTTCCAGATGTTACTGGTAGATTTTCCCTCTACTGAGAGGTAGATCCTTGTCAATTGTACAGCCAATATTGAAAGCTGGACAGCAAGGACCTTCATGTGGTGTGCAATCTGTGGATTCAGCTGGTGGTGAGAGACAGCATTAGCAACCTTCCATGTTTTAACCTTCTAAAACCAATGGCAGATTGTGGTTTCTAGCAACCATCCCGACGCCCACAAACAGAGCTGCATCAGGACACCATTTAAACAAGCCACAACACATTGCAGCAACCTGGAACTACGCAAAGTAGAACAGGAGCGCCTATAAGGAGTTTTCAAAAGGAATGGATACCCTTAAAGCACAATCCACTGTTACTGCCAAGACAGACCACAACAGAAAGACACAACACGACCAGACTCACTAATCACCCCACCATACGTCAAGGACATTTCAGAGATGACCACAAGACTACTCAGACCCCTAGGTATCAGAGTAGCCCACAAACCAATAACCACCCTACGACAGCTACTGACGAACATAAAGGATCCCATACCCAAAACCAGCAAAACCTGTGTAATATACAAAATACCATGCAAGGACTGTGATAACGTAAATACCAACTAGCCACCAAGAGACATGGCCAATTCTCATTTGTCTCACTACACACAGACAATGAGGGACACTAATTCGAGTGGGACAACACAGTGATAATCCGCACAAGCCAAACAGAGACACGCCAGGGAATTCCTGCAGGCCTGGTATTCCAACCGGGACTCCGTCAACAAACACATTGAATTAGACTCTGTGTATGAGCTACTGATAAACAGAATCGGAAGTGGTACTAAACACCACAACAAACTGAGGCATATAAATAACAAGCAGGACAGAACATCAACGCTTCGTTGGAGGCGCATTGACAATGTTAACTAGCAGGGTAACAAAACGTTTGCAACCAAACCCATAGGCTTTGTGAGCGTGTCTACAACCTCAATGTCTCTTTTTATTTCAGATTTCCAATATACACAATTCTTTGTTTATTGTTAAGATGTGGGGGGTGGGGGGAGAGATGCTTTTGCCAGTATCAAAAATGGCGGCCCAGTCCCATTCTGTCATCGTGGGCGAACTGCGCACGCGAGGCCGATCGGTCTGATTGACGCATCAGTGAACCAATAGCTGAAGAGATTTCTGGTGTAATGTGACCACTTCGGACCAGTCAACGCTGGCGGCGGGATCCCGGTACCTGCGGGCAAGATGGCGGCGCCGCTGAACCAGCAGCAACAGCAACAGCAACAACAGCAACAACAACAACTGGCGGCCGCTCAGGCCCAGCAACAGCAGCAACAGCAACAGCAGCTAGTCCAGGCCCAGCAGCTGGCTGCAGCCCAGGCTCAGGCCGGTCAGCCGGCGCTCACACAACAGCAGCAACAACAACAGCAACAGGCCCAGCAACAGGACGACCCAGTGGCTAAATTTAAGCTCCTGATTCCACAGCTGAAGGACTCTCTGCAGGTATCCACCTGGGAGGGTCAGTGGCTCCGTGGTCACCTGGGGCCAAGGGTCAGTGGCTCCATGGCCACCCGGGGTCAAGGGTCAGTGGCTCCATGGCCACCCGGGGTCAAGGGTCAGTGGATCCATGGCCACCCGG